GGGGGGGGGGGGGGGTGCGCGGGCGGCGGGGCGGCCCTCGGGCCATGCGTTCGGCTCGGCCCAACCCGGCCGGCCGGGGGCGGCGCCCCGAGCCCGGGCCCCGCGCGGCCCGTGCCCCCGGCTCCCGCTGAGCTCCGGGGGCCCCACTGTGGCCGAGGCCATGTTCCCCGTGTTCCCTTGCACGCTGCTGGCCCCCCCCTTCCCCGTGCTGGGCCTGGACTCCCGGGGGGTGGGCGGCCTCATGAACTCCTTCCCGCCACCTCAGGGTCACGCCCAGAACCCCCTGCAGGTCGGGGCTGAGCTCCAGTCCCGCTTCTTTGCCTCCCAGGGCTGCGCCCAGAGTCCGTTCCAGGTGAGTAGGGGCCGGGCCGGGCCGGGCGGGCGCCGAGCGCCGAGCGCGGCCCACACGGCGCCTTGTCTCCGCAGGCCGCGCCGGCGCCCCCGCCCACGCCCCAGGCCCCGGCGGCCGAGCCCCTCCAAGTGGACTTGCTCCCGGTCCTCGCCGCCGCGCAGGAATCCGCCGCGGCGGCTGCGGCCGCGGCCGCGGCGGCCGCCGCCGTGGTGACTGCGCCCCCGGCCCCCGCCGCCGCCTCCACTGTGGACACAGCGGCCCTGAAGCAGCCTCCGGCGCCTCCTCCGCCACCCCCTGCCGTCTCCGCGCCGGCCGCCGAGGCCGCGCCCCCCGCCGCGGCCGCCACCATCGCCGCGGCCGCGGCCACCGCTGTCGTCGCCCCGACCTCGACGGTCGCCGTGGCCCCGGTTGCATCCGTCTTGGAGAAGAAAACAAAGAGCAAGGGGCCCTACATTTGCGCCCTGTGCGCCAAGGAGTTCAAGAACGGCTACAACCTCCGGAGGCACGAAGCCATCCACACAGGAGCCAAGGCTGGCCGGGTCCCTTCGGGTGCTATGAAGATGCCCACCATGGTGCCCCTCAGCCTCTTGAGCGTGCCCCAGCTGAGCGGGGCCAGCGGGGGAGGGGGAGAAGCCGGGGCTGGCGGCGGCTCGGCCGCCGTGGCGCCCGGTGGCGTGGTGACCACGACTGCCTCTGGAAAGCGCATCCGGAAGAATCACGCCTGCGAGATGTGCGGCAAGGCCTTCCGCGACGTCTACCACCTGAACCGGCACAAGCTGTCGCACTCGGACGAGAAGCCCTACCAGTGCCCTGTGTGCCAGCAGCGCTTCAAGCGCAAGGACCGCATGAGCTACCACGTGCGCTCGCATGACGGCGCTGTGCACAAGCCCTACAACTGCTCCCACTGTGGCAAGAGCTTCTCCCGGTGTGCAGGGGCCTCGGCTGCCCGCCAGGCGGTGGGGGGGTGGGGAGGGAGGGCCGCCAGGTGGCCGGTCTTTGGCTGGTGGGGAGGTGGCTCCCAGTTCCTGGGGACAGGAACCACTCCCAGGGAGGAGGGAAGGGAGCCTCGTGGTTCCTGGGAGCAGGGGGTGGTACTTGGAGAGGAGGTGGGTCTTTGGGCTGAAGGAAAGCTGCCTCTGGGCAGAGGTGGAGCCTTGGTTTGAGGGAGTTCCTGCCTAAGGACTGAAGCTGTGGGGGAAATTCGGGCACTTTTGGAAGGGCGTTTTGGAGGAGCCTAGGTAGCTTTTGAGGCACAGCTCACCTCGGAGTTTTAGCCCTAATACCCCCTCCCCACCTCAACATGTCCCTAGGCCGGATCACCTCAACAGTCACGTCAGACAAGTGCACTCAACAGAGCGGCCCTTCAAATGTGAGGTAGGAAGCCCGCTGCCTCCTGTCCTGGATTTCATGATTTTGATCCTCATGGTAGCTGTCCGAGTTCAGCCTCTCAGACCCCCTTTTTCTCTCTTTTTGCCTTTTCACTCCATTTTCGCATTTCTCCTTCAAGGCCTGGTCATCTCACGCCCATTTCCTACAGATCAAAGACCCCCCCAAGGCTCTGATCCCTTTATCTTGACCCCTTCTCTCTACTCCCCGGAGCTTTAACTCTCCTGTGACCCCCCCACGCCCTCCCCCCCAGAAATGTGAGGCAGCTTTTGCTACGAAGGATCGACTCCGAGCGCACACAGTCCGACACGAGGAGAAGGTGCCATGTCATGTGTGTGGCAAGATGCTGAGCTCGGCTTATATTTCGGACCACATGAAGGTGCACAGCCAGGGCCCTCACCATGTCTGTGAGCTCTGCAACAAAGGTACATGCTAAGGGGTGCCGGGAGGGCAGGGGGAAGGGGGAGGTGGGGGGCACGAGGCTGTTTGGTTTTTTCCACGGATGTGGGTTAAGGGTGCTGTAGCCAAGAGCTCGTGGCGTGTAGGGAGCCCCTTTAAGAAGCAAGCACAACAGTATTGGAAGCAACTGAACGTCACTAAATTGTATGCCGTGACTCAGGAGACAGTCTACCAGAGGCTCAACCTCCTGGGTGTGCTTGGGGAGACTCAAGTGGGACATGATTGCTTTGAGAAAGGAGTGCTCAAGAAAGCCAGTCCCCAGGCTTTCAACTGTACAGCCACAAGTTCTTGTCTTCAGCTCTTGGGCAGGTGGAGCATATCAGCACGGTGTGACAAGCACACACCCTGCCCAGTAACAGAGAAAGCTGTTTTCAGTGTGGGGTGTTCACTGAAGGAACTGAGACCGGGGCTCTGGAGGGGGGACACAGCCGTCTCTACTGAGAGTCAACTCTTAAAAAGCTAGGCAACAGTGTCCTGTCATGGGGGCATGTGCCAGTTACGGGGGAAGGTCTCTAGATATTTTAAGGATTAAGAAATGGGCACCACTCAAACCAGCCCCAAGTTCAGGGAAGGGCTATGTCCCAGTGGAGTAGTTGGCCCCAGCCTACCAAGGATGTGGTGGGAGGAGGACAGTGCCACGTGAGGAGGGTGTCCCCAGCCTAGGAGAACAGCCCTGTCTCTGGGGTCTCCACCAGGCTGACCCCAACCCCCATCCCAACCCCCCCCCCCCCCCATAGGCTTCACCACAGCAGCATACCTGCGCATCCACGCGGTGAAGGACCATGGGCTCCAGGCCCCGCGGGCTGACCGCATCCTGTGCAAGCTGTGCAGCGTGCACTGCAAGACCCCTGCCCAGCTGGCCGGCCACATGCAGACCCATCTGGGGGGGGGCCGCCCCTCCTATCCCGGGAGATGCCCCCCAGCCACAGCCTACCTGCTGAGGGGGACCCCTGCACCCACCAGGCAAGGCGTGGGACATGGCTGGGGGGGCAGGATGGGATGTGTGGGACAAGGGAGCTCAAAGGGCCCAGTAGGGGATCTCAGGAAGGCCAGGGATGCCAATCTGTCACTCAGATTAGGGAGACTTGGGGTCCAGAGAGGGCAGTACAGACATGCTCCATCTGGGTAGACAGGCCAAGCCTCTGGGGACCAGATAGGAAGTGAGTAACGGCTGTGTCCCAGGGGAAGTCGGCAAATAGTTGGAAAGTTTGGGGTATGAAGAGTGTTTCTTGCCATTCAGGTTGTGCTGTGATCCTTGGTGTTTCTCACTGTAGGTACTGGTGAAGTTTGTCCAATGGCGGCGGCGGCGGCGGCAGCAGCAGCAGCAGCAGCGGCGGCGGCAGTGGTGGCAGCCCCCCCCACAGCTGTGGGCTCCCTTTCTGGGGCAGAGGGGGTACCAGTGAGCTCCCAGCCACTTCCCTCCCAGCCCTGGTGAGCTCCAAGTTGATGGGGGAGAGGGGAGCATGGAGGAAAGCTCTTCTCGGTACAGTCTCCTCCTTCCCACCAACTCCTCACTACTCACTACTCCATCAACCAAGGAACCTCCAGACAGAGGAGGAAGAAGGAATCCACTAGGTTTTAACAATGGTTCTCCTGCTCCTTTCTTGTCCCTATCAGAGCTGACCCTACAGACACCTGTCCCCTGAGTTGTGTTGAAGTCCCCTGGACAGTGAGCAGGGGTGGCGGAGGACAGCAGCAGCCACTGCCCTCAACCTTTAACCCCTTGCCTTTCCTTCCAGGGATCCGTAAGCCTTTCCCGAGAAGGTCCTGTGCTCTCCTCCAGTCCCCCTCCCCTACTGTCTGCTGCTCCTTCCTGGGGAGTTGGTGCTTTCTTTTTGTTGTTGTTGTTTTTTTCCCAGGGGGAGGGAGGAGAGAGAGGAGGGGAGTTCGGATTCTGTCCCAGAGGAGGGATAGGCGGACTTGAGGGACAGGATCGGGAAGGCAGAAAGGGACACTCAGTAAGGAAGGGTGGTCACAGCCTGCACATCCTGCTGGCGTGTCTGTCCAGGGAAAGCCAAGGGGAGCATCCGAAGGAGCCACTAGGGCCAGAAGCAGAACGACAGAGACGGAATCTTAGGGTCCAGGGTAAAGGAGGGGAGCCAGGGACAAGAGGTGCTTCCTGGGGGTGGGGAAATGCAGCCACAGTGTCTCCCTTCCCTCTTCACCCCAGCTCCAGCCCTGGTCTTTTCCTCTTTCCCACAACAGAAGCTGTGGGCCCTGGCCATGTCATCGTGTTCCTGTGTCCCTTGCATGTTCCCCTCCCCTCCCCTCCCTCCTTTTGCGCAGACCCCATTACAATAAATTTTAAATAAAAATTTGTCTCTGGTTTCCTAAGTTATCTTCACTGAGCCCCCTGTCGTGTGTGCGCACGCCTGTGCAGGAGCTCGCGCCTCCCACGGGAGGGGTTCTTCGTTGGCCTTGATCTCAGTCCCAACCTTTCTTGCCCTGCAAAGTACTGGCTCCTCTGTCCTGAGATACAGCCTCTAGCTGCAACACAACACAAATTCGGATGGACCCAATAATCCAGAGGCTGATGAGAGCAAACTCGGGTCTCTAGGGAATACCCAGTCTGGACAGGCCCAGAATACCCACTGGAGGGTTGGGGGTCTCCAGACTAGTCATTGATGTTATCCTGCCCGGAGCAGGCTGCACAACCTCCAGATGCCTGCACGTGTGGATCCCAGAGTCCATGGCTGATGCAGAAACGTGGAGGGAACTGCATTTGGTTCCCACCGCAGCGATGACAGACTGCTCGCCCCAGCTCTTCCTAGTTGGCCAAAATTTCCTCCTCAGGGCTTTCTTTGCTCGGACCTTTACAGAGATCCCTCCCTCAGGCTTTCATCACGCATTGCTGCTGCTCTCCTGGGGCAGGGCGGCTTCAGCTCTGCAGGCTCTCTTGAAACCCTACGCGGTTCTCCTGCAGCCGCCCCAAACTCAGACCTGTCTCCTCCTCTGCTGCTCAGGACGTCTCCACCCAGTCCTCAGTGGCCCGTCTCTTCGCAAACCCAGGTCTCTGCCAGGATCCCCCGGTGACCGTTGGTGGGAGGGGCCGAGGACTTGGGAAGGGGGTGCCCCACCAGGAGGTGCGCGTGAGAAAGGGCAGGGAGGGGGCACGAGTGGTCCCCGGGCCGGTTACCCAGGTAACACGGGGCTTGGCACGAGGTTCCCTTGGGCTGTCCGGGAGGGGCAGGAGGCGTGCTAGGGGCGGGGGCGGCGCGGCAGCAGTGGAGCTTAGGGGAGGGGACCAGAGAAGGGCCGAGCAAACCCGGAGGAGAGAGGAGGGGAGACCCGCCACCTCCCTTCCTCGCTCGCAGACTTATTCCCTCCCGGGCTGCGGCTGCGGCGGCAGCAGTGGCGGCGGCGGGACGCAGGAGCAGTCCCGAGGCTGGCGGCGGATGACACTGGGACGAACTGAGGCCGCTGGTAGGAGTGGACGGCAGACAGCTGGGTGGCATGGGAATGCAGGTGTCAGGAGAACTGGAGGGTGGTTCTGGGTGCGCCGTGCCATCGGGAGACGATCCCCTCCCCCTCCGCCTCTGCTGAAAGCGACAAGGGAACCCCTGAAAAGGGGCTGAGAAGGGATGCCAGCGATGCTAGGTCTCTCCAGGAAGGGGCGGGGAGGAGGTGGAGGGGCGTCTGAGCCCAAATGCGCAGCAGGAAAACCCCGCACTGCTCAGGTGGTGCCCAGAGAGGAGGGAAGGGTAGGAAAGAAGCGGAATGTGAGGGTTCTCTGTCAGTCTGCCTGTTGGAATGTCTAGTGTATGCACAATTTCGATGTGCTGGGTACCTTCGAGGGGGGGGGATCTGAGAGTATGGGTCTTGTGGGGTGTGTTGGATGGATCCAGAAACAGACCCAGAATGCTTCTGTTTAGACAAGGGTTTATCTTCCCCTGGCTCTCCAAACAGACTTTAAGTGGAACACTTCTCCACCAAGGGTGTACCACCCCAAAGCAAAGGAAACCCCAACTTTCCCTCCTCTCCCTAGGGGACGGTACAGGCTAGCCTTGAAACAGGAGCCTAGCCCTCTCAGTCCTGTGGTGAGGAGAGAATGGCTCTCCTCAGCCATTCTCTCCTCCTCACCAACCCTGTCTCCTCCTCTTCCAGGATTTGCCACTGTCGCTGCTGTTCCCTCTTCCCCACGGGCCCGCTCCCATCTCCCTTCTCTAAGATGGCAGCCAGCAGCCCTGAGGTCTCTGAGATGAAGGGGGTGGAAGACAGTTCCAACATCCAGGGAGAAGGACCTGGTCATTCAGAAGCTGGACCAGGTCCTGTTCAGGTTGTAGCGGAGAACCCCGACCAGCCAGAGGCCCTTCAGCCAGACCCAGGCACCACTGCAGCACCTGTGGACTCAGGGCCTAAGGCTGAGCAGGCTCCAGAAACCACAGAGACCCCAGAAACAGTCCAGGCCACAGACCCCAGCTTAAAGCCAGGAGAATCCAAGGCCAGCCTCAGCCCCAGCCCCAGCCCCAGCCCCAGCCCCAAAGAGGCATGCCAAGAACCAGCACCCAAACTAAATGTGAGCAAAGGAGCTGCAGCAGCAGCAGCAGCAGCGCAGGGATCTGAGCAGCAGTCGCCAGCCCCTCCTGAGCCAACCTCAGAGCCTGCTTTCCAACAAAATAGCCACTCAGACCCTCAGCCAACTTCCCAGCCTGCTCCTAAACTATCCCCTCAGACAGAGCCCCCCACCCAAGAGGACCCTCCCACTGAGGCCCTGACAGAAAGTATAGAGGAAAAGCAAGAAAATGGAGCAGTGGTTCCCCTCCAGGCTGGTGATGGGGAAGAGGGTCCAGCTCCCCAGCCTCACTCTCCACCCTCAACTAAAACACCCCCAGCCAATGGGGCTCCCCCCCGGGTGCTGCAGAAGCTGGTTGAGGAGGACAGAATAGGAAAGGCGCACAGTGGACATCCAGGATCTCCCCGAGGTAGCCTCAGCCGCCATCCCAGCTCCCAGCTGGCAGGGCCTGGGGTTGAAGGGGGTGATGGCACCCAGAAACCTCGGGACTACATCATCCTTGCCATCCTGTCCTGCTTCTGCCCCATGTGGCCTGTCAACATTGTGGCCTTCGCTTATGCTGTTATGGTGAGCCCCAAGGGACCCCGGCCCTGGGACACACTGTGGCTCCCAGCTTCCCGCCAGTGTCAGAATAGAGCCCTGAGAATGATACCTTCCCTCACCTCTCTGCATGGATCCTACTTTTCCAGTTTCTGGGCCTCTACTTCCTTCTCCCTGGGACCTAACCCTCCAAGCCCTACCTACCCCTTCAGGTGGGAGGGAAATAGAAAGATGGTTCATATAACCTTGCTGACCTGTGTCCTCTTCCTCCTGCATCCCCAATCCTCCTTCCTTTCTTAACCCTACGTGGGGGGCTGACCTCCCCCCTCTGGACTCTCACCCTGCTGGGCTGGCCCCTGCTGACCTGGGCCATGATACCTCTAAACCCCTCACCCTCACCCCAGTCTCGGAACAGCCTGCAACAGGGGGACGTGGATGGGGCTCAACGTCTGGGCCGAGTAGCCAAGCTCTTAAGCATCGTGGCGCTGGTGGGTGGGGTCCTCATCATCATCGCCTCCTGTGTCATCAACTTAGGCGGTGAGTGGGGGTCAGGGACAGGAAGGGGAGGAGCGGAAGGGTTGACAAGGACAGCTTGACTAACCCCTGACCCTGCTTTCTCCTGTCTGTCCTCCCTATTCCTTTGTCTCTTGCTGTCTCCTTCCCTGTCTGTCTTTGCCTCTCCTTCCCACAGTGTATAAGTGAGGGGCTCTGCCCTGCATTCCAAGACTTTTCTTCCTGTTGGGAGCTGTCTTGGGTCCATCCCTGTCCTGGGGGAAGCCCAGTTCATGGCCCTGGCCCCCACCCCAAGGGACCAAGGGAGCCTGAGCAGCCTTGTTTACAGCTTCTTTCCTGCTCCTGCATCCTGCCAGGCTCCTCTGCCAGCCGTTGGCTTCCTTTCTCCCTGCACTTTTGCCTGCGGATCTCCCCTCCTGCCTCTTGACCTCCCTAACCCTGCACTCTGAAAACCTCTCTGCACTTCTGGAAGCCTTCTGAACATCTAAATTGTACTCTGCATCTACCCCAGCCTCCCTGCACTTCTTCCTGCCTCTGAAATCCTCTGAACCTTAACAAACTCTGACCTCTCAACTTTGTCTTGGCACCTAACTCATTCCTTTCTTCCCTTCCTTAACACCTCCCCACCCCCTCCTTGCCAAGTGTCCCGACACGACCCCTTCTGCCTTTTCATCTTCTCCTCAGCATCTTCACCCTCCTACCAACACTTAACTCTGTAAAAACTGCAGTACTTGGGTCAGGCCGAGAGAGGAAGGATGGTGTGGGAAGAGGATTGCCTAGCTGGGGCCTCTGACTGTTCTCTGCTGGGGACTATCTGGACCCAGCCTGCACTCCCACCCCAACCCCTAAGGTGCCTATTGGGTCGAAAAGCTGGCAAACCAGGCCTCACCTGGGGACTCGTGCAAGAGTGGGAACCCTCATTCTTGACATCCCGGGGGAGGAAGGAGTGCCTCAGTGGCTGAAGGCTCAGCCTGAGTTGACCTGCCCTTTCGGGCTTTTTAACCTCAGAGTTCTCGTTTGAAGGTCTGAGGGGTTCGGGCCATTCACGTGCTTTGTAAACAGTAGAATTAAAAAATAATAATAAATAAAAGGACCAAAGTTCCCAGCTGCAGGGAGCGAGGGAGGGGCAGGGAGCTCTAATTATTCTCTAAGAGGATGACGGAGGTTTGTTGCACGAGACAGCTCTCTTGAGGCAGGGAGCCAGCTGCGATTGATTTCGGAGTTGGCGGGGGTTTTTTGTTTTACTTCTTAAAAACCTTGGGGGAAAACTGAAATTCCTTTTAAAAAATTTAAATTGACTCTCCCATTTTGTATGCTGAATGCTGCATGAGTCTTAAACACCAATAAACAGTGAATGCATGAGACTCGCCTCAATTGGTCCCTGTGTTCGTTTGCAGTCAAGGTACTGCTTTCTGGCAGGCCCTAGTGAACGAAATACGCATGCGCTGCCGCAGTGGCCATCTTTAGTGTGGGCCGAAGCGAGTGATGTCTAAAGGGCCTAACCGCGCATGCGCAAGCCTTCTCTTTCCTCTCCCAAGTAGCTTTGACTACCGTGGAGTCTCCGCGCGCCATTTCTCTGCGCCTGCGTACTGCGATCCTGCCCAGCCTAGGCGGCGGGTTTTAGCTCCAGGTTTGTACGGCTGCTGAGCAGACGCGAGCTAGGTTTGCGAGGTCCGAGGAAATGGCTCCTGGCCAGGTGTTGAAGAGGGCGATGTGAAAGCGAGAAAGCAGGCCCTTCCCCTCCCAGCTCCGAGCGTGGTTTCCGCGGGTCCCGGGGAACGGCAGAATTCCCGATCCGTGGGGTGGGGTCTGTCCGCGCAGGGATCGGAGCGCCCCCTCCTGGGGACGGTGCTCCGGCCGCGGTCAGCTGTTGACTAGTTGGAGATTTCCTAAACCCCGGTGGATCTCAAGCCTTGTGGGGGAGGCACCCTGGTTTGGTACTCTCGAGTCTCCGGTATTTGCTGGGCTCCTTCTTGAGTGCTCTATGTCCCTTGCCCTGGGCCATGGAACCATTGCAGGGAGCACAGCCGCGCCTCTCTCTGAAGAAGGGGAAGTGACTTCCGGCCTCCAGGCTCTGGCGGTGGAGGACACCGGAGGTCCCTCCGTCTCGGCTAGTAAGGCCGAGGGAGAGGGGGAAGGCAATCAGGAGGAGGCTGGGCGTGAGGGATCCAGGGCTGAGGAGGCACTAGAGGCTCCCAGCGCTGCGGGCGACGAGAGTGCCGAGGGGGAATCGGAAGACTGGTGCGTAGCCTGCAGCGACGAGGAGGTGGAGCTGCCGGCCAATGGGCAGCCCTGGATGCCTCCCCCCTCCGAGATCCAGCGTCTCTATGAACTGCTGGCTGCCCAAGGGACTCTGGAGCTTCAAGCGGAGATCCTACCCCGCCGGCCGCCCACTCCTGAGGCCCAGAGTGAAGAGGAGAGGTCAGATGAGGAGCCCGAGGCCAAAGAGGAGGAGGAGGAAAAGTGAGGCCATAGCTTTACACGTTGTCCCTGAGCACAGAAACTGGAGGGAGGGAAGAGCAGGAAACGCCGAGCCAGCCCGCCAGGTCCCACCAGTAGGTGTTTGGAAGGGCCTCTCTCACCCTTCACTCTCTGCCCATCCTGTTTCAGGCCGCACATGCCCACAGAATTTGACTTTGATGATGAGCCAATGACACCGAAGGACTCACTGATTGACAGAAGACGTACACCAGGTACCAGTAAGAGGAGGAAAGAACTGAGGGGAAGTGAAGGGACCTCTTCTCTTGGTCACCCCAGGAGTGGGCTCTTCTAAGAGACGTGGGCCGGGTACCACAGGGCTGTAAAACTGTGTGCAGGAAGGAGCATGCACACAGTGGCAGAGTGTTTCCGGCGTACTTCCCTGTAAGAGACCCTCAGGCCTTCCTCTCAAGTCTCCCAGTCCTTTCGTCCAAAGTCCTCCTGGTCATTATTCTCCAGAATGCATCTCTGTACTACTGCGCACATCACCCGATATGACCCGATATCCCAGCCCACATCCCTGCCTAGAACTTACCCTCAGAACCATTCTTGAGTTTTTTCCCCCAGCTGGTCAAGCTGACGGTACAAATCTACCTTTAAGATCATCTCCCGCTCTCTCTCTCTCTTGCGTGACAGTTTCCACAGTTCTAACTAGTCTCCCCACTTCTGGTTTCAGCAGCCAGAGTCCTTTTGAGGGAAGTCCTGTCATTTCTCTGCTTGTAGTCCTCCAGAGGATTCCATTCCAGAGAGAAAGAGCATGCCTAGGGAGAATCTGAGTTTTCTGGCCTCCACCCCAGTACTCTGTCCTCTGAATGAGTCTGCCCCAGGACCTTTGCACTTGTTCTCCCCTCTAGCCAGTATGGTTATCTTCGCCTACTATCCATCCTCCTGCGTGGCCCAGCCCTACATTAGCTCCTCTGTGCAGAGACCTAAAATGAGTGTGTTAAACAAGATTTCTGAGGGTGGGGGGGCTCAGAGTGTGTGTGGGGGTGCTCACTGCCTCAATCCAGACACATTTTCTGCCTTCCTAGGAAGCTCAGCCCGGAGCCAGAAACGGGAGGCACGCCTGGATAAGGTCCTCTCAGACATGAAGAGACATAAGAAACTAGAAGAGCAGATCCTTCGGACTGGGAGAGACCTCTTCAGCCTAGACTCCGAGGGCCCCAGCCCCGGCAGCCCTCCGCTCCGATCCTCAGGAAACAGTCTCTTTCCCAGGCAGCGGAAGTACTGACCGCTGGTGCTGCTCCGGCCCACAGGTGCAGACTGTTCGTGCTGGGCATGGCTGGCCTTCCCCAGCCCAGGCTCTGGGAAACTTGTACCAGAGAAAAAAGCCTCAAGCTCCCAGTGCAGTGCCTTGCGGGAGAGCGAGTGTGTGTTCTGTTGAGTGTCTGCTTGCAGCTCTGAGCTGGATTTGCTGAGTCTAATAAAGGATGCGGGATGAGCTTAGAAACTGCAGGTGAACCCAAGCGCTCGGTCTCACTTAGGCAGAGGCAGAACTGTATTCCTGCACCCTGGAATATTGAAGCCAAATGAGGCAGAGGTGCAGCCAGCCATCATCTGACATGCCCCTACCGGCTCCTCTGATTTCCTGGTCTTAATCCAGCCCCACCTGGCAACACTAAGGCAGAAACTGCTGCAAATGGACCGACACTGAGCTGCAGTGTCTTCAGCTGCAGCCTGGAGGAGAAAAAGATCCAGTTACAGGGCCCTTTAAAAACCCAAGCTCCGCCCCTGCCTGCCCAGCCCCTTTGGGGAAGTCATCCCAGTGTTGGTGAGGGAAATTCCTGACCTGTGGCCTGCAGCAGCCAGCAGCAGCCAGCTACCCTGCTAAATGTGAGTACGAGTTCTAGACTCTGGCTGGATCCCTAGACGCCAACCCAGGAGTAGGTGTCTGTTCCACAGGCTGTCCTCCTGCTTTCCTGAGACTTTTTCTGCCTTCCTGACTTCTTCCCTCCCAAAGGACAAGAAGGAGGGCGTTGGCTCGGGAGGTTTCACTTTCTGTGCGTTTTCATGGTTTGCAAGCCATGGTTTGAGGTTATCAATATCCTCATCCCCCAAAACCTCACGCCTGCCTCCCTGACATCAAGGTCTCACAGAAGAGGGAGAGGAGGGGGAACTTTAGTCAGGCCCAGCAGTAAACGCGTGCTACTCCCTACTCAGGAGGCTGAAGCAGAAGGATGCCTTGAGCCTGGGAGTCCCTCACCAACATAGGAGCGCAGTGAGACCCGGCCTTTTGGTTTCTGTTGTTTGCTCGGTTGGCTTTTGGTTTTTGTTTCGTTTTTGAGGAAGGTCTAGTATCTCCTAAGTGGTCTTGAACTCTTAGGTAGCCCAGGATGACCCTGAACATCTGATCCTCTTGCCTCCACCTCCCGAGCGAAGGCTAACATTATAGATGTCTGCCATCCCTATCAGTTTTATTCGTGGCTGGGGCTGGGTTTTATGCGTTTTAGGCACATGGATGGGGTGTAACTCAGCAACACAACATACCTGCACTTCTAAGACTGTTTTTTGGTTCCTAGCACACTTTTTTTTTTTTTTAAAGCGCTTTGAGGGTTGCCTTGCCAGATAGAGTTCTCTAACCTCAGCCCTTGGGCAGCTGAGGCAGGAGGGTCTTCAGAAGTTTGAGGCCTGCCTGAGACACGTGATCCCACCACAGCCTGGGCTACCCACCCCGTAAGCCCCCGTTGCAGATGACAAAAGCCGGTTAGGGAGAGTTGCAGCACCCCTTCAAATTCCGTCCCTGCCTCTACTTCCCTGCCTTCTCTTGAATGACTGACATATATGGCTTCGCCTCCTTGATTCCCTTCGGGACCGCTTGTGGAGGCTTTCCTGCGGCCCTGTGAAAGGCTGTGCCAACTGTGGGCGTTGGCCAGTCACTCAAGCAGGGGCCAGCAGGGTGCTCGTAAGGGTAGCTTGATTTCCAGAAGGCGCAGAGTTTAGTGAGATCGAGAGTCTTTGGGGGGAAGTAAATGGGAAGCGCAGTGGGTCAACCTGCCTGAGATGCTGGGGACTGGGAGTCTGTGACTGAGGCCCAACTGTGGTAGGAGATGGTGCCTGGGGCAGCTGTTCCTTATGTCCTCTGCCCCCTGCCTGTGAGCCCCTGGGACCTGGAAGAGAGGTTGGCCACCACAGACGAGCCAGATGGCTCTCCCGGAAGCTACTTACTGAGACCTTTGGCACACAGGGTATCTACCCTGCCCTGAGGTGGGGCAGTTGGGTAGGAGTACTACCACTCTGAGTGCCTGGGCGCTGGGTGCCCAGGCCTCCTATGGCATGTCATACTCTTGTAGCAGAGGCTGTTCACTGGCTCAGTTATGGAAAAGGCCCACCCTTGAAAAGCCACTGGTGCCATTTCCCTGATAACAGCAACCCCACCCAGATCTTCTATGACACCCCCCCTCCCCGTGAGACAACCTGGCGCCTCTGCCTAACAGGCCAGGCTGCCTTCAGTAACGGCAACCCAGGGAAAGCCTGGCCAGCCGCACAGAGCCGGATGACTGGGTTAGACCCTTACCTTTTAAGCTAAAGGCATTTAACATGTGCTGAGGTGGGTTGTTCCGAGTAGGAGTTGGTGAGGGTTATGCCTCTGATACAAGTTCCAGAATTTTTCTGGAAGCCTTGGTTCTGTGGATCCTTCGTAAGGCTTGGGTTTGAAGAGCAATAAACATTAGCCAGAAGCTAGGTGTGGGAACATGAGCCTCTGGTCCCCTCTCCTTGGGAGACAGGCTTTTACCTCCAGAGTCCCAGCCCAGCCTAGGTAACACAGTAAGACTCCTTTTAAAACCCAAAGCGGGGCTTGGAGAGATGTCTGGGTGACTCAAGTACTTACTGCTCAGAGGTCCTGGTTGGGTTCCCAGTAGCCACACTGGTTGTCTCACAGCTGTCTTAAGACCAGCTCCACGGGATCTGCTGCCTTCTACCTTCCATGGGCACCTGCACCCGTGAACACACACAGAGACAACTGAGGAAGAATTTTGTTTTGAACTCCCAGGCTTGTTGAGAGAAAACCTTGATCTAGATCAGAGGTTCTGAATCAGCTCCTGAGCCTGCTTCTAGTCCACACACCATTCACCTTTGGGGATTCCCATTCATTTGTAACATCTGGGGCACAGCCACTGGCACATGGTGAGGTCACCAAGCTGTCCCCTACCACAGAGTATCCTAGTTGGGCCACAGTTCAGATTAAGATTTTCTTTTTCTCCAGGCTCTCATTCTAGCCTTCCCTAGCCTGCCACGCCTGTGTTTTTAGTATTACGGCATGGGCCACCACTCCAGCATGGGTTGGTTAAGAGTTTTCTTTGTTGAGACAGGGTTTCTCTGTGTAGCCTTGACTGTCCTGGACTCACATTGTAGATCAGGCTGGCCTCAAACTCAGCGATCTGCCTGCCTTTACCTCCCCGAGTGCTGGGATTACAGGCTTGCGTCACCACACCAGGCTTGGTGAAGGTTTTTCCTAAGAGGGCCTGGTGAGATGGCTGCCAGTCCCCAGTGCTCCTCTCAGAGGTCAGGCCCCGGAAGCAGTATGGTGGCAGGCCCCGTCAGTGAAGAGCTCCATGAGGGACAGGCCCTGCTTGTATTGACTGCACCTTTTCTTGAACCCAAGGTGTCTGGGCTTGAAAGCAGAGCTGGGGACAAAGGGAACAACCTGAAGCTAGGCAGGGGAGGGATTGGAGAATGAGTAAAATTTCCGTGTGCACTTGGAAGTCTGTATAAAGGGGTGAATGGAGAGGCTGCAGGCTGGTGAGGACAGGTTTGTTTGTGGAATAAACCTGAGAAGCGTTCTTGTCAGAGAAGGCAGGCCAGTGAGCTCTATGGTGGTGGTTGTGGTTAATCTTAAACTAGGAAGTGCAAGAATACTGTCAGTGATGACTGACATGGGGCAGTTGAAACTGTTAGCCACTGGAGGGGGTTATTCAAAACAGGGTGCAGTCACAGGGCCGGGGTGAGGCTAGGATGGGCTTGTTCTCCTGAAAGTAGATTAGGCCATTGTCACTCAGCTTCACGTGGGTTCAGAGCTAGCCTGGGCTAGACACCCACCAGAGAAAGAAGGGTCTGTGCTCCAGATGCGGTCTGCTGTGCTGAGCTCGGCCCTCCCCACTGTAATCCTGTAGTAAGATGGTCACCTTGCAACTTTTTTCAGTCCAGAAGAGGAAGTTGTTAGGAGTGGTTCGGAGCTGAGGTTACAATGACAGAACCCTAACAAGACTGGCATTTCCTGCTGTTGAGATTGTGTTTTGTGTGGTTTGGTTTTCGGGACAGGGTTTCCCTGTGTAGCCCTGGCTGTCCTAAAATTCTATATAGACCAGGCTGGCCTTGAACTTGGAGATATGCCTGCCTCTCCCTCCCGAGCTCTGGGATTAAAGACATATGCCACCACAGCTGGCTCAGTCTCGGACTGTAGTTTTAGCTACAGTCCTTTGGGCTGCAGTTCCTACCTCCTGAGTGCTGGGGTTACAGGCGTGAACGGTCAGACCCAGCTTCCCCAGCCATCCCAATATATCTCTGTGTAACCCACGCTAGCCTGAACTAGTGGTATCACCTTCATCTCCAGAGTGGCTCTCAGTCTTTGAGTCACTGTGAGAACTTTTAAAAATATTGGTGCCCAGCCGGGCTGTGGTGGCACACACCTTTAATCCCAGCACTTGGGAGGCAGAGGCAGGAGGATGGATCTCTTAATGAGTTTGAGGCCAGTCTGGTTTACAAGATGAGCCCAGAACAGCCAGGGCTATACACAGAAACCCTGTCTCGAAAAGCAACAAACAAAAAAATATCGGTGCTCAGACCCTACCCTTTACTAAAAAGTCCAAATTTCCATAACTGAGTTTACAAAAAAAAAAAAAAAAAAAAAGCACCTTTCATTACAGACCTGAGTTCAACTCTCAGCCTCACATGCTCACATGCACCTACCCACACACAGACACAGAAATAACAACAGAATAAACCAGGCAGTGGTGGCTCATTCTCTTCATCCCAGCATTCTGGAGGCAGAGACGGGCAGATCTTTGTGAGTTTGAGGACAGCCTGGTCTACAGAGGAAGTTCCAGGACAGCCGGGAACATTGAAACCCTGTCTTGGAAAAAAAAAAAAAAATCCAGCACTTGGGAGGCGAAAGCAGGTGGACCTCTGTAGGTTCAAAGCCAGCCTGGTCTACATGGTGAGTTCTAGGATAGCCGGCGCTATCTAGAGAGACCCTGTCCCAAAACAGTAATAAAGGAATCTTTACAAACAACTAACGGCAGACCAGGAGCACAGTGTGGCCACTTTGAAACAGGCATTGACTGTTTAAACTCACTGTGCCAGCCATTGGAAGGTTATCCTGAAAAATGGCTGAAATGGGCTGATTCATGACTCGTTAATTTTGGCTGATACATCAACGCTGCCTTTGAGTTCCCAGACAAGGAACAAAGCCAAGTATTATGGACCATGTCAGTATTTCCAGCACTCAGGAAGCTGAGGCAGGAGGGTTGCTTTGAGTTCAAAGGCCATCATGGACTTCATAGTCATTATCCAGAGTTATGTAGCAACACCCTGTCTCCAAAAGAAAACAACAACAACAAAAAACAGACATGGTGCACTTCATAACCCCAGCATTTGGGAGACTGAGACAGAAAGGTTGCCATGCCCTCAGGGCCAGCCTGGGCTACAGAGTGAGACCTTGTCTTTAAAAAAGACTGGGATTCAGAGCCTGTCCTGGCTTTGTGTTGTGCACGGGAGACCAGTCTACGCACCCCTCAGTGAACAACAGGCTGAACCCAGCCTCTGCACCTGGCTGAGGACCAGCTGTGGCTCCCGGCACTTGCAGACTAGGCGTGTACCCAAGAGCTGGCAGGGAGCACAGCTCAGCTGAGAGTGCAGGGAGAGGTGCCAGGCCTGAGGCAGAACCATAGGCCCGTTACCACTGGCTTGCTTACTTGTTTTGAGACAAGGTCTCCTTTTGTAGCCCTGGTTAGCCTGCAACTCGCTATGTAGTCCAGGCTGACCTCTGTGTCACAGAGACCTTCCCAGCTCTCTCCCAAATGCCGAGATTAAAGGTAAGTGCCACCACGCCCAGTGTACCATGTCCTCTGAGGTCCTTGACATAACAGAAATAAGAGGTGGGACTGCACATATCATCTAGAAGCCACTGGGCTGTGAGACTTGTTACAAATACAGTATCCAGGGCATAAGGGCAGGATCTGCTCCAAGGGAATTTGATTGGTGATCTTAGGAAGGGGAGCTGTGGGGCGTGGAAGGGGAGTGGACTGGAAGTTAAATTGGGCTACCTGAGCAGGGGCTTGGCCTTAGAGCAAGGCCGGAACCCAGCCGGATTAGCTTTGAAGAAGGCTCTTGCTGAGTCACCGAGCTGGGAGAGGCTCTCCGGCCCACTGACTATTCCCAGCTGGGGTGACAGATGGTGGAGAGGCCTCAGTCTTGGGGAGTGGAGCATTGTGCAACGAGGAGCCAATCGAGGCTGTGCCTGAAGCGGACTCCCACCTCAGAGAGCCTTTGATGGTTCCCTTCTTCTGGGCGGGGCCCCGAGACCCTGCTGGCCTCCCAGGCCTTTCTGCCTGTCCCATCTGGTTTCCTGGCCAGGCGCCCCTGGAGAGGTGCTGTATCCAACTGTGGGAAGCCTCTGCATTGCCGTGCTCCAGCACAACGGCTGGTTGATGTGCGGTTCACCTCCTTCCTGACCGGCAGCCAAGTGAGGGTTAAGCCCTGATGCCAGGTGGGGAAGGAGGCCCTGACTATACCCCTCAACCTTGGGCCCTGTCTATTCTCAGGATTAAACACAGTACTGGTTAAGTGCCAGGCTTGGCTTGGGGTGCTTTCTGTAGAAACGTCATCACAGTGCTGGGAAAAGACTGTTAGTCATTCCAACTTCATAATTGAGGAGGCAGATAGAAGAACAAAGGGCTTGTCTAAGATCACCCATCCAAAGAGAGTCCGCAGAGGCAGGCTTGAGCTCTGAGTTCAAGGCCAGCCTGGTCTACAGAGTGAGTTCTAGGACAGCCAGAGCTACACAGAGAGAGAGAGTTAGGGTCGCAGTTCAGTTGGTCCCATCTTACAGAGTCTTGAATATTGCTCTCCTAGCACAGAGCCCAGGAAAACATCCGGGTCAGATCCCAACACTGCAAGGAAGAGGCAGTGTGCGTGTCAGTGAAACATTATGTGTTTCAAGAACAAAGTGCCCAAAAAAAGCAACTTTGGGAAAGGATGTGATTTTTTTTCACCATTTGAGGTTGCAGTGATCATGCCAAATGGCACGGCAGCAGGACCCTGAGGCCTCGGGTCACACTGCCCACCGGCCGGCCGTCAGGAACCAGCTGGATGCTGGTGCTCAGCCTGCTTTCTCCTTTTGAGTCAGCGTGAGCCCCAAGCCCACAGAGTGAGTGCTGCTTAGTCTGGGCCCTCCCTCCCCAACTAACCCGGTCTAGAAAATTCCCTCAGAGACATACCCTGAGGATCGTCTCCTGGGTGATTCTAGAAGCTGTCAGTATTTTACCATCACAAGCAAAATTAATTCCCTCTCCCGTGGGAAGCATACCAGAAGAGCCTTGGGCCAGGGCATAGCTCAGTTGGTAGAGTGCTTGTCATTTATGTGAGAGGACCTGAGTTCAGGCCCCAGCACCTGAGTTTTAAAAAGGTAAGGGGTGCTGGAGAGATGGCTCGGTGGTTAAGAGTTCTTCCAGAGGACCCAGGTTCAATTCCCAGCACCCACATGGCGGCTCACAGCTGTGTGTAGCTTTACCTCCAGGAGCTCTGGCACCTTCACATAGACTTACATACAAGCAGAGCGCAAACGCACATAAAACAGAAATAGATACATCTTATTTCAGAAAAGAGCCAAACGCTGTGATTCTAGCCCTACTGGGGAATGTGAAAACATGTGGATCCGCGGATTCTGCTGGTGGGCCAGCCTGCTGGACTCGGCAAGCTGTGGGTCCTACTAGGAGGGTTTTGTTTGTTTGTTTGGTTTGGTTTTTTTCTTTGTCTCAAAAACCAAACACAAACAAGTGGGACAGGAAACTCTGGTAAAGGTGCTTGCTGCTAGGCCTGGGTTTGACCCCCAGCATCCACGTGCTGGAAGGAGAGAACTGACTACTTCTATACTTGTCTTATGACCTCCACAGGCATGCTACGACACTCAGTAAATAAAATTTAATTTCACAAATTAAAAAAAAAAGCCGGGCCTGGTGAAGCACACCCTTGATCCCAACACTCAGGGAGCCAGAGGCAGGCAGATTGCTATGACTTCAAGGCCCGCCTGGTCTACAAAGCTAGTCCAGGACAACACAACCAAGGTTATACACACACAAACAAAGGTAGATATCACCTGAAGATGAACACCCAAGCTTGACCTGAAGCCCCATGGTGGATCTGTACACAACCCCCAAAGAGCAAACAAAAACCTTTTGTTCTGGAGTTGGTTGGGCTGGTTTTGTTTTTGTCCAGTGATGGGGTAACCCAGGCTGCCCTCAAGCGTGCTGTGTAACTAAAGATAACGTTAGACTCCTAAGATTGCAGACGGGAGCCACTGTGTCAGTGTATGTTGTGCCGAAACCTGACCGTGATAGGCAAGCGCTCCACCAACTGAGCCTCATCCCTGGTATGACACAAGCCTTCCAAATCCAGGACCTAACCAATGTTGCCAGTGTTTCTGACTCCCTTCAGAGAAAGAAAAGACCAGCTGGGGGCGTAGCTCGGTGCTAGAAAGAGAGTTTGTCTAGCGCTTGTGAGGTTCGGTCCCCAGTCCTGTCAGAACAATAATGGTGACAACAATAATAAAAACAAAAAGTCCGGACAGCATCACGTCCTGTGACCCTGAATGACCCTCAGTCTTTATCTGAGTCTCAGCTACTTAGAGTTGTGGAATCCAGAATGGCAAAAGGGGATCAACCAGCTACAAGGGCCCATTTAAATTAAGTTTTAAGTGTTTTTCCCCCCATGTTGGGGAGCCCAGGACCTAGTGCTCTCCCGGGAGCCCCACTGCCAGCCCCTCCAACTCTACTTACAGTAACTGTTCCTGGGGATGTGTCTTGGTTTGCTTCCTGTTACTGTGATAAAGACGATGAGGAAGCATAACTTGGGGAGGGAAGGATTTAATTCATCTTACGGGTTACATTCCTGCCTCCCCAGGTTCCTGTGGACTCCTGGGGAGGCAGGAACGGAATGAAGCAGGGCCTATGAAGGAGTGCTGCTTACTGGCTTGCTCCTGGTCACTTGCTTAACCCACTTTATCAAAATCATTTATTTATTTATTTATTTCACGTGCATTGGTGTTTTGCCTGCACGTATGCTTATGTGAGGGTGTCAGATCTGGAGGGTGTCACTCTGACTGGAGTGACAGACACTTGTGAGTTGCCATGTGGGTGCTGGGGATTGAACCCGGGTCCTCTAGGAAGAACATCCAGTGCTCTTAACTGCTGAGCCCGCTTTCTTAGCCACCCAGGACCACCTGTTGAGAGGCGGTCCTCTCCCCAGTGGTCTCTGGGCCCTTCTCCACCAATCAGCAATCAAGAAAAAGCCCCACGGGCAGTCAGACGGAGGCATTTTTCTCAGTTGCAGTCTTCTTCCCATTTGAATCCAGCTTGTGTCATGCTGACAAGAATCTAACCAGGACAGGATGTGGTGTTTCTCAGCGGCGGAGCTTGCCCAGCACGTGCAAGGAAAGCCCTGGGCTACATGCTCAACACTGCAAAGACAAAAATGCTTTGTCCAAGCATGGTAGGGATGCCTAGAACTCCAGCACGCAGGAGGCTGAAGCCGGAAGATAGAGTTTAAGATCAGCCTGGGCTACAGGACAAGATCCTGTGCAAAACAAAGAAACAAGAAAGTAACAATTTATTTTCCCAGACGCCCAACTGCATTCCAGCTGTGATTCTGCTGAATCACGTGTGGCCAGTCCAGAGACAGAAGAAACAGAATATTCCCAGGTGCTGGAGAGATGGCTCAGCAGTTAAGAGCGCTTGCTGCTCGGGCAGGGGACCAGAGTTTGTTCCCAGCACCCAATAGTAGGCAGTCCACAACTGCCTGCGTCTCTAGCTCCAGGAAATCCAAAGTAGGCACAGCCCATGCGCACCTGTGCGGGCACACACATACACACACACACACACACACAGGAAGAGAGAGGAGGTCTGCTATTCTCATATTCAGGCATAGTCTCTGGGTCAAGGCTCTGCATTGCCTAACAAACTTAATTGCCTTTTTCTGACTCGGAAGAGACATGTCCAAAGTCCAAGGGACGCTGGGTATAAGGATGGGCAATGCTAAGGGTGTGTGACATTCACAAGCCAAGCACTGAATGAAAGCAGCCAGGAGTCAGAGGTAAAGACAATGGCGTGGGTAGATACGAATCCATTTATTCCCCTTTTCCTTTCCGCACATACTTCTTCTCCTACCTCTTGTGACAGCGGGAGCCGAGGGTGTTCAGCCAGGGAGCTGAGAAGGGTGAGGTCAGGGTGCTTGGCTGTGTTATGAATCCAGCTGCCCTGATGGGAGCATCACTTGGGTCTCTTCTTGGTGGGGCTCTCCTCTGAAAGGTTTACCTCAGGACTGCTTAGAACAGGAGTGGGCAGGAGTGCAGACAGACACTGAATACAGCCGGGTGCGCCTTAGGACCTGGGAACCTTTGATCTACAGGTAGTGTGGGGAGGGAGTGGACCGGAGGGAGGGAAAGGTAGCAATACCTCTGGGCCTCTGTGGGTAACTGAAGTGAACAGTCCTTGGCGGAGGTGCTGTCTGAGGTGGGGAGAAGAGGAGAAGCGGGTATGGCAGAGCCCGCTTTTTCATTCCAAGAGAACTAAGGTAGGAAGACTGTGAGCTCAGAGTCAGCCAGGGCTGTAGAGCTGAACTCTGTGTCAGAAGTGGGGATGGGACAGGAAGAGGGCGTGAGAGAAGGGAGGAGGAAGAAGAGCTCCAAGACATGGCGTAGAGGTTAAGAGTCCTTGCAGAGGACCCAAGGCTGAGTCCCAGCATCCATACTGGGCGGCTCATAGTCGCCTCTAACTCCAACTCCAGGGAGTTCTGACACCCTCTTCTGACTCCTTCACGGCCCCAGCTACACACAAAATATACATACATACATGCAGGCAAAACATTCATACACATAAAATAAATTATATACATACATACATCATACGTACATACACAGATCCTACGTGAATACAGGGGGCTGGAACAATGGCTCATTAGTTGAGTACTTACTGCTCTTGCAGAGGACCCAGTTGCCAGCACCCATGTGGTGGCTCACACAACCGCTGCTGGCTCCAGTTCCAGGGGATCTAGCCTCTGAGGGCTCCTGCATGCAGGCATGCAGCACGAATAGATTCGTGCAAACAAATGCACATGTCATGAAATAAAATGTTTAACTTTTTAAAAGATTATATATATATATATATATATATATATATATATATATATATATATATATATATTATATGAGTGTCCTATCTGCGTGTACACTTGCATTAGAGGGTATAGATGGTTGTAAGCTGCCATGTGGTTGCTGGGAATTGAACTCAGGACCTCTGGAGGAGCAAACAGTGCTCTTCACCACTGAGCCTTCTCTCCAGCCCCAGTATTTTACTTTTTAAAAAGCAGGAGAGGAGGAAGTTGGGTTGGGAGTGAGACCAGGAAGGTGCTGATCAGGGTAGCTAGAAAGAAGAGGTCGTCTTTGGGCTACCCTGCCTCGTCCCAAATGCCCTGTGTTTATCTCTCGTCTTCCCGACCGGGCCTTTTTCCATGCTGCAATCAGGTTCGGCCGGAACTTAGGATTCACCATGGCAGCTGAAGAGGCCATCATCCGCATACCTCCATACCACTACATCCATGTACTGGACCAGAACAGCAACGTGTCCCGTGTGGAGGTTGGACCACAGACCTACATCCGGCAGGACAATGAGAGGTTGGTGCTCTCTGTCCCGGCTGGGGAGAGCCCGGCTGGCAGGAGTGACCCTTCTCTGGGTGGCTGGGAGGTTTCTCCTGCTCTTACTGACTCCTCACATCCCTTCTTACCCTCACAACAGGGTGCTCTTCACCCCAGTACGCATGGTGACGGTCCCCCCACGCCACTACTGCATAGTGACCAACCCCGTGTTCCGGGACGCCCAGAACTTGGTCTTACTTGACGCCACAGGACAAGTCAGGCTTCGGCATGCTGACCAGGAGATCCGACTGGCCCAGGACCCTTTCCCCCTATACCCAGGGGAGGTGCTGGAAAAGGTACCTGCCTTTCCTCCCTCGAGCCAAACTCAGCCTGTTTCACCCCACTGCCCAACAACGGGCAAACAGAGGGCCTGTGGGGAGGGTTAAGGAGGAGGGATGGTTGTAGATTTTCACCAGGGGCCAAGCTGACCCGCCGCCTCTTTATTCCAACTACCCTGCTCTCCATACAGACCCCAGATAGACTTGCCTTGTCTCCAGAGTCATGCCCAGATGCCTGTGACTGTGGCAGTGGGGGCATGGGCCACCACCACAGCCAAACCCTCTCCCTTATCGCCCTCAGGCTTGGGTTCCCAAGTGAGGGAATCTACCGAAAGTTCCTTAATAGTCCCGCCTTTACCTGCTTGGTATTGAATGCTTTTAAACTGACTGTCTCTACTGACCAGTACCATTTTTGTTATCACTACCGTTTCTTTACTTATTTATTGGGGTGGAGGGCATGCGTGCATGCCACAGATGGCGTGTGAGTCCTGGAGCTGAACTCAGGTCATCAGGCCTGGCAGGACCTTCCCAACTGAGCGATCTTGCCAGCTCACTTTTAAGGTTTTTGTTTGTTTGTTTGTTTGTTTGTTTGTTTGTTTAATTTTTTTCAGTGCTAAGGGTAGAACTCAGGGCATTGTGTATGCCAGACAAGTGCCCGATAACCGCAAGCCCTAATCAGTGCTTCTTGCTCTTGAGTGCCTAATAGCATGGCTCCCGGTGTGCACAGAGGTGCTCGCGGCCAGGAAGGACAGTGATAATAGCGAGGGCTCAGTGAGACGGCGAGGCAGGTAAAAGTGTTTGCCGTATAAAGCCTGAGGACCAATTTTCGGTCCCCCAAACCCCTGGTGGGAAGAGAGAACCAGCTCCTGAAAGCCGTCCTCAAACTTCCAAACGTGCGCGGGAAGCCATGCACACCTACCCACACGCACAGTTATAAATAAAATAGAAATTTTAATGAAACCGTAGCTAATGAGGAATGGTTAAGGATTTGGAGCAATCCTTAAAAGAATCTGAGTGGAGCCGGGGCGTGGTGGCGCACACCTCTGATCCCAGCGCTTGCGAAGCAGAGGCAGGTGGATCTCTGAGTTTAAGGCTAGCCTGGTCTACAGAGTAATTTCCAGGACAGCGGCCAGGGCTACGATGTGAGACCCTGTCAAGAAACACTCCCACCAATAAAAAAAACAAACAAAAAAAACTGAGTGAAACAGTCGTAAAAATATATCTATACCCTTGTCTTACCTCAGCTGGCTGAGTCCGGTCTTGGGTGAGGAGGGCCGAGGTCACGAGGTCATTAGAAACCCTGGGGCCCGAGGAGTAAAGCTTTCCCACCCCGCCTCACTTTAACCTCGACTCCCCTACACACACCCAGAGACGGTCCACAGAGAGGGACCTCTCCATCTTGAATCAGGATTCACATGCTTCCATGGCGCCACCTTCCTTGAGGCTTGTAGCATTTTCTAAAGGCATGGGAGACATTTTCAGAGGCGGCCTCCTCCCTAGCCACGGCAACAGCTTGGCCTTCCTTTTATTTATTTGTTTTGTTGTAGTTGGTGCATGCATGTGTGTTTTGTTTGGTTGGTTTGGTTTAGTTTCCATTTTTCAAGACAGGGTTTCTCTGTGTAGCCATGGCTATTCTAGAACTCGCTCCATAGACCAGGCTGACCTTGAACTCACAGAGAGCCACCTGCCTCTACTTCCCAAGTGCTGGGATTAAAGACCTGCACCACCACTGCCCAGACGTGTGTGTGTGTGTGTGTGTATGGTATGTGTTTGAGGCAGGGTCTCACCATGTAACTGTGGCTTGCCTAGAACTTCCTATGGAAACCACACTGGCCTTGAACTTGTGGCAATTCTCACGTCTCAGGCTTCCACGTACTAGGATCACAGGTCGATAGCAGCATATTCTGCCCCAGGTGTTTTTAAAAAGCGGAATATTTTACGACGACGATGACGATAGTGTGTGTGTGTGTGTGTGTGTGTGTGTGTGTGTGTGTGTGGGTGCGTGCACGTTGCTAGAGTACGTGTGCATGTTAGAGGGCAATCTGTGGAGTCAGTCCCCTCCTCCCACCTCGTGGATCCTGGGGGTCAACCCTGGGTCCTCAGGCTGAGCAGTAAGTGTGCCCCTACACGCTGAGCTACCTGTCTGGGTTACCCTGATTTCCGTGCTGCCCTGAGACAGTGGTCCTGGCTGCTGTCCAGGGCACCGTAGTGCAGATCACAGAGATTCACCTCCCTGGCTCTCAAGTGTTGGGGTTAAACAAGTGTGCCGGCATGCCCCACCTCCCCCCGGAATATTAGACCCCAGTCAGACTTGCTGGGCGGGAGGCTGTGGGTGTCCCGGTTTTCTCCTTGTTTGTTTTGCAGGCTTTTCCCAGTGGCCCTATAGATCTGTTTTCTAGCTGTCCGTGGCTTTCTGTCTCTTACCTGCTCTTTCCTAGCAACCTGCACTCGACATTCTCTAAGTTCATTTTTCACCAACCCCTCTGAGCCCAGACCCTACCTCCACTGAACTTCTTTTGGCAAAGCCCTAAGACAACCCAGGTGCGGCGCCTGCACGTCATCCCAGCACCTGGGAGGCTGAGGCAGGAAGATCTCGAGTTCTAGGCCAGCCTGGTGTGTGTGTGTGTGTGTGTGTGTGTGTGTGTGTGTGTGTGTGTGTGT